TATTGTCTTAAGAAAAAGATTAAGAATCTATCATTGAAAAATATCAAGAATACAACAAAGGATAGTATAATTAATGATACTTAACATATACAATATGGGTTTTCTCAAGAGAAAAAAAATACATGTGCAATATAGGCAAAGTTTAGAAAATTCTTTATCACTATTTAATTTGAGAAAAAGAAAAAGAAGAGAAACAAAAATTAAGAAGAATTAACGAAAATCAAAATATCTTTAACAATTAAAAGATTAAAAAATAATAATAAAAAAAAAGATTATAAGATTGGTGTCAGAATCTTAAAAGGTGCCGCATGGTGAAACACCTTTGAAGTTGATGGTAGCTGTAGTGCTCATGTAACCTTGTGGCTTGTATATGGGTCAGGTAACTTTATACTTTATAAAAAATTTGATTAGCCTTTAAAATAATTAATAAATAAAATATAAATGATTTATAAATTTTTAATTCATAATAAAAATCGAAAACTAACCATTATTTTGGGATGAAAAAGTAGAAGTATTCTTCAATTGGTTTATCATTTTTTCTTTTTACATAAAAGATTAGTTGTTTGATATCTCTTAGACTTGAACTTCTAACATAGAGTCCTGGACCAGGAGGCAAGGGTTTGAAATTAATAACATCCACTCAATCAAACTGTTATTAGTAAAAATATTTAATTAGTTTCAGTTGAGTGTGGTAACAAAAAAAAAAAGTTTTCTTTTATAATTGGAGTGTTTTTAGATCAATTATATATATATTAAAATTAATTTTTTAAAAACAATTTTAAAATAACATCTCTTATGTTAATCTAATATAATTTAAAAAATTAATTTTTTTTGAATGAATTTATAATTAGAGGTGAAGGAATTCAAATCCAACTTAAGAACTAAAGGATACACCTTACAAATTCATTTATAACACCGTTGAACCGAGTAAGACTCAAGTTTTTAAAAATTAATTTAAAAACTTTAAATTTAACTAAAACATGACATGACACTTATTAAACAGTAAATTTAAGCTAAAAGCATCATTTTCATTGGCACTGTGTAATGGACGTTACTCGACAAGGGAAGAAAGGCCCAGATCAGGTCAATCCTTCACATTTGGAGCCCAATTAATTAATTAACGGCCTGAAAATGGAGGAATGAGGCTCAAAATTGAGCCCAGACGCAAGCGGAGCTTCTCTCGGTCACCAAATTATGTCATTGCATCGTGCAAAATGTTCTCAATTTATATTATTTCTTTTATTTACTTTATTAATAAACTTTTTAAAATTGTTAGTATACAATTATTTTTATGAGTCTTAATATTCGGCTAAAGTAGTGGATGAGGTCCCAAACTTACACTAAATTTGTAATTAAGGTTTAAAAATTTTGTTATACTTAATTAAGGTCCTAAAATTATAGTAATTCTCAAATAAGGTCTTAATTAGATGAAAATCGTTAGATTCATTAAATCTATTGTTAACCCCATTAACTCTAACCGGTTAGAGAACAAAAAAATAGTCCCTAAACTTTTAATTTTAGTTTTAATAACTTTAAAACTTTCAAAAAAACTCAAAAAGCTCTTAAATTTATTTTTCCTTTTGTTTATGAGGAAATTTTTGTAGGACCCGTAACTAAAAATTAATGTGGCATATATGGGGGCCTCAATTTTCATGTTATTTTCTTCATGAATGTATTTACTATGCAAATATGTGGGATCCACTCAAAAAATTTGTTATGGTAAAAACAAACCCAAATAATTTTTTAACGGTTAATTAAATTTTTAATAAAATCATTTAAAGGATAATTAATAGATTATTTAAGATAATTAAAATTAATTTTTAATTGTGAGTCTCAAAAAAATTTCTTTATCAACAAAAAAAATTAGTTTAAGGAGCATTTTAAGGTTTTTAAAAATTTTTAAGTTATTGAAAGCTAAAATGAAAAGTTTAAGGACTATTTTGTTATTTAACTAGTTAAATTTAACAATGTTAATAAAATATTTAATAGACTTAACAGGTTCCATCCAATTGAAATCTTATTTGAGAATTTTCACAATCTTAGAACCTTAATTCAGTGTAATAAAACTTTAGGATCTTAATTAAGAATTTAATGTAAGTTTGGGACCTTATATACTACTTTAGCCTTAATATTCAATGAGATTTATGTTTTACATGTCAAATTGTAAATATAAACAGCTTGTCATATATATATATATATATATATATTTTTTTTTTTTTTTTTTTTTTTTTTTTAAACAATTGAAGTGTTTCTAAATTAGTCTTTGCATATTTCAAAATTCATTTCTCTCTCTTATCAATTGCAAGAGCATATC